GTGATTTGTTTCCCTTTTTGGCAACTTGTGGAACAGATCTGCAAGGAAATTATTCAGAATTTCTACTTGTGTTTAACTTGAGGAGGAATAGGACGACTGAATTTTCACTTCTGAATGAACGCTGGAGTTTAGCAGCTGATTCTAGATCAGTGTGAGGGTCAGAAGCCTGTGATATGCGCTCATAACGCAGCTCTTATCAGTGACGGCATGGCAGCCGCTGGCAGTTCTGGGTTTCAGCGAGTTGTAGTTTATCTCTGTCTGACGCTAATGAGCCATTCATGAGTCGGGCCACAGCCGGCCGGCTCGAGACCACCTGACGCTCAAGAGACAGGACACATCCTGAGGGACTTGGGACAGACAGAGACACAGACAAACACAGAGACACTGGGAGGGGAGTGACAGCCACCCACAAAGGGTCTTCCGTGTTCCAGTCCAAAGTTTATTTGAAGCACTTCAAAGCTTACAGCCATAGAGTTACCACTTACAGTGTTAGAAGGGACATAAAATCAACATGAAATCAAGACTGACATCATTTATTATGTATGCTATCGTTTAAATGTTTGGAGTCAGTAAGATTTTTTTTTATTTTATTTAAAAAATTAAACTGATCAAAAGAATGTTTCTTAAGCAGCAAATCAGCATATTACAATGATTTCTGAAGGATCATGTGACACTGAAGACGGGATGCTGAAAATTCAGGAATAAATACAATTTTAACATATATTCATATAGAAAACAGCTATTTTAAATTGTATTCATATTTCAGAATATTATTGTTTTTACTGTATTTTTGTTCAAATAAATGGAGCCTTGGTGAGCAGAAGAATCATTAAAAAAAATCTTACCAAGCAAACGCTTGAATAGTGCATTTCATGAGAACAACGGTTTTCATTTCATCATTTCAAAATGAAATGATTCTGCTTTTCTATTGAAAATGCTTTTATTTTTATATTTTCAGTTTTCATTTTAATTGTACTTTCATTAATTGTGTCATGTGCTTTAATCCTTTTTATTAAATACATCTATTTGGTTTTAATTTATAAGTTATACAAATATATATATATATATATATATATATATATTTATTATTATTATTTTTTTTATACTGTTAGTTCTAATAATTTTAGTACTTCGACTTTTTTCATAAAGCTTTTTCATTTAATAGTTAGCTTGGTTTAATAAATTTTATTTTAGCTTTATTTAAATTAACAAAAAATATTATACTTTTAGTAAACGATAACAGTCTTCTACCAATAGAGCGCAATTCTCCCAGTTTTGTTTAACATATTTTACCATGTGTAAATCAGAATTTTTTCCCACAAAATCAGTCTGCGGATTGTGTCAGGGTTTGGGTCAAAATCCTAAAACTCCGAAAACCCCAAAAGCATGTAATAATTAGGAACAAATGCTCTCTAATGGTGTTCTTACTGAAGGTATTTGTTGCAACCGGCTGTTGCTAGCTACTGCTCAATCTCTGCAGTTGCCTGAAAATATTAAGATCTAAAAATTAAGCATCAAAGGTGAAAAGCGCAATACGGTGGCTCTGTTGGATGCCACCGCTCGGTTTGTCTAACCAATGGACGACAGGGAGTTTTTCTATGTAATAATTCTGTTTATTAATGCTAATGGAACAGAACTTCCACATGTTAGATGTGAGGAGTCAAGAACTGATCAATCGGTGTAGAGTTTAAAGTCTGAGAGAATAAATCAGGATGGATATGTGGAGAACAGGAGTGCAGCAGACATTCAGAGCTCATTCCAGTTTCATGGGGAATACGTGAAGACACGAGTGTGTGAGGCTTAATTTGAGGATTGTGTGTGTTTCTTTGATGTTTTCTCTCGTCTTAAGATCTTGTTCACACTTCACGTCAAGGGAAATCAGACTACAACAGAAGGTTTCCAGCAGCTTCTCCATGTTCCAGATTGTACGGAAATGTGCTAATGAACACAACACTGAACGACAAATCCATACCTTTATTCAGCAAGGCTGCATTGAATAGTTCAAAAGTGACAGAAAAGACATGTATAAATGTTGCAAAAGGTTTCCATTTCAAATAAACGCTGTTCTTTTGAACTTTTTATTAAATCAAAGAATCCTGAAAAATAAAATGCATCACAGATTCCACAAAAAAAACATTCGGCAGCACAACTGTTTTCGACATGGATAATAATCGGAGATGTTTCTTGAGCATCAAATCAGCATATTAGAATGGTTTCTGAAGGATCATGTGACACTGAAGACAGGAGTAATGATGCTGAACATTCCGCTTTGATCACAGCAATAAATTATTAATATATTCACATAGAAACCGCTTTAAATTCAAATAGTTTCACCTTTTTACTGTATTTTTGATCAAATAAATGCAGCCTTGGTGAGCAGATAAGACTTCTTTCAGAAGCATTTTGAACTGTAGTGTATTTTTATAAAAACAATGTTCGTCTTCATAGTCTTCCTTCAAAACAATCATTCAACATATACAGACACAAATTCAAGCATTTTATCCAGCAAATCTCAACCAAAATAGGAGGACCAGAACTCCAAGAACAAAAAAAAGCTCACAGTCAGAAGAGGAAAAAAAAACAGATTGTTAATTGCGAGCACGAGATAGAAATCGGTCTCCATGCGGTCGCGTCACCAGGTCTCAGTGCCACCCAGACCAGCCGGCGGTCCTTCAGCGGGCGGAAGTGCCTCATTTAAACGCTACACGCCGTATTTAACATGGGGATTTTTTTCCTGTTACCATCATTGTGCTTATTCACTGAGGAACCGTCTGTCTCTCTCTCTCTCTCATGCCGTCTGTGCGGTGCAGTAATGATAGTGCGGTGGCGGGAATATCAGATAGTTACATAACGGCCCCTGCGTGTTCCTCTTCCTGAGGATGTCAGATCCACTGCTTTTCTACGGATTACAGCCACTAACAACCGCACAAGCAATCTCGGGCTCTGTCCCACTGCCTAAAAACAACTAAAGGCCTGCAGTCTTCCTCTCTGATGACAGACAGACCGTCTGACCCTCTCAGGAGTGACAAAAGCATGAGAAACTGCTGAGCAGACTTAGTATTTCCAGTAAAACACAAAGTGAAAGTACAAGCGAAGCAGATCACTGACATATGGCACACATTGGATGCCAGAAGTGCAAACAATGTTGTCGGCGATCATTCAAACACACAGGAGAACTCCGATGATTGTGTCTCTAAAGCTTAATGTCTTCGCGCGAACAGGATCCTGTGTTTAAACCCAGACATCAAGCAATCAGTGACCAAAACAAACCATCTGTGGCGTCTGGATAACAGCAGACTGACTCAATCTCAATGCGTCAAAGGCTTTCAGTTAACAGCAAGATCAATCCTTCACACTGGGCTTTTACCAGTGGTGTATTGTAACGAAGTAATACTACTTTGTTACAGTACTTAAGTATTTTTTGGGAGTATGTGTACTTTACATTTCAATCAACTTTTACTTTGACTCCACTACATTTCCCAATTAAAATGTATACTTTTACTCCGATACATTTCACCGAATTTCACCGAATAGTCAGAAATCATAAGAACATGGACTGCCGGAAAGCAGGTTTGACGAATCAGTGGTCTGGCGTTTGCAAGTTAGACTCCTAAAAACACCTTTGCTCATGTGCAAACAAGTGTGCACACAACCACGGATGATTCATTTTCCACTCAAGTCAAGTCTGGGGCGTGCGATACAGCATCGTCTGCGAATAATATGGTAAGCGTTGCTGTAATGTGCGATCTGACATTATCAAGCAACGATAGGCTATAATCACCAAATCACACACAGAGTGCATGCACGTTGATTTATTAGTCTATTAAAACTCAAAATTCAAGGCATTCAGTGATTCACTCATTAACACAGTCAAATGCTTTGTTTCTGAATGAATCAGTTGTTTGAATGAATCGGTTGGATCTCAATGGCTCGCTCATTAATAGTTACTTGCCGTCACCTACTGGCGGTTTTAACTTCACATTTCGAAATTAAAATGATTATTTTTTTTCAGGTTTTAAATTATTTTAAACATCAGTATTCACCGTTTTATGTTAAAAACAAAACATTAGGCCTATTTATGCATCTGTAAACCATAAACTGTGTAAACACATCTAAATGCTATTTCAGATGCAGATTCCAGAAATGTTGTATTACGTTGGAATGAAAGACCCTAAGTACCGGATGAAGTGCTTATTATTCTTACCCAAAAATACAAAATGGAAGAAAGAGTTAAAACTGAACACAATCTTTTCCATTTTGCATTTACTTGTACTTTTACTTTCAATACTTAAGTATATTTAAGATTTAAAAATATATATTTTTTTCGTACTCAAGTACAATAAATAATCACATACTTTAAGACTTTTTCTCAAGTAATATTCTAAACGGTGACTTCAACTTCTACCAAAGTCATTTTCTGGTAAGATATCTGTACTTTTACTTGAGTATGGCTTTCAGTTGCTTTATACACCACTGGCTTTTACAATGAACATCTTATATTTCATTTCAAAAACGTGACTATAGCCCAATAGTTCAAAACTAGCCCAATATACATTCATGGTAATGCAGAACCAAAAGGTCTTCAGTGGCTCAATATTTTTTCACAAAATCTGTTACACATTTGACTACACCATCTACAGGTCATAGACCTAAATAAAAACATCTATTTATCATCTTTATGATTTAATATATCTCACTGCACACTCTGAACTTTAAGTCAAAAGTCTAATTTAACATCACCTAAATGTATTATACCAACAAAACCATTTTTATAGGCTTTAAGGTAACAGACGTCTTGAAGAAGAGAAGCTGCTTGAATTGACTGAGAGAAATCTGATTATTTCAAAGAAGTTGAAATCGTTTTAATTTGAACACATTGTCATTTGTCGTATAAGTGTGTCCATATATTTACAGATTTGTTTAGATAAAGTAAATGTGCTGACCTTTCAGTTAATGCTGGTCTTTGTCAGGCACTTCAAGCATATTAACAGTCTTCTTACCTGAAGCTGCGGTTCTCAAGCACAGAAGAACAGCTATGAAACGTGTGACGCTCCTCATGTTCAGACGTGTGGTTTGCTGTGAATGCGTCTCTTCTGGTGGTCTCAACAGTTGTGGCTGATATTTCAGAGGAGTGACCAGAATATGCCACACTCGATACTTCCTGAGAGAGAAATCAGCATTAGTTTGATGGCAGCAAAGACCGGTATGTGACTGTACAACACTAGTTTAAATTACATTTGCTCTTATTATAGTACATAATAACATACATATGTTATGTAACTCCCAACACACTGTTTATATATTTACATATGCCTGTGTTTGTTAACTTTAATAAAATAAATAAATAAATAAATGCTCAGGCAGGCTGATTTAAAGGAGATCTCATCATTAGGCGGTTCTGTGATTCACAACGTTTACATTGGCCACATCCACAACATCAGTTTAGATAATAAACTATAACACTAAACAGTCAAATATCACACATCTGATACACACGCACAAGTATACGATTCACTCGTTATGGATTCATTCACTTAAAAGTTGAGAGACACTAAACACAGTCACACTTCCCAAACAAACCTTTAACCCGTCAGGCTGGAAAACAGGCGAAAGCTGGGAACTCAATCCGACAGCTCAGATCCAGTGGTCAGTCAGTCAGTCCAGCTGAACCCTCAGCACTGACCAGCAGCAGCACTGACCCTCCCACTGCTCACAACACAACAAACACACAGCACGGTGCATATGGATGATGATCACCTGCATGATATACTGATGAAGGATGATCAGGTGAACGATTGATGATGATGATGATGATGATGATGAAGAGGATGATGATGATGATGCACAGAGGTTTTCACGCTGATGACAGCGCCCTCTTCAGGTGCAACACCATTACTAATCTGTTCAGAGACTTCACTTCCCTGCGAGAGTTTGTTAACCGTTAACATATATTATATATACAGTGTTGGGGAACCTGAAGGGCCACAGCTCTGCACAGTTTTGCTCCAACCCTAATCAACAGGGGTCTCCAAACTTGGTCCTGCAGCTCCAACTTGCCTCAACACACCTGCCTGGAAGTTTTTAGCATGCCTAAGACCTTAATTAGTTGGTTCAGGTGTGTTTAATTAGGGTCCAGGACTGAGTTTGGAGACCCCTGCTAATCAAACACACCTGATCCAGCTCAAGGTCTTCAGGTTTACTAGAAACTTCAAGGAAGGTGTGAGTTGGAGCTAAACTCTAAACTCTTGAGTTTGACACATCTGTCCTAAACAGATTGCAAGTTTTCATTCATTTCATACAAATTACAAATCATTTTCACAAAACACTGCACACAGAATTCTCAAATGTTGTCATAAAAGCCAACCAAAACTTTAATATTTTAGGTTAAAAAAAAATTCCATCTGTTTTTATTGGTTTTACACAAATCACAAACATTTATGTACCACATTTGTCCAAACACAAGAAACAAAATTCTGCAGTTTATCATATTATCAAATGCACATGGTATATTTTCAAAGGCCCCAAACTGATAACTGCTCGCTTAATAATACGCACAACACAGGAAATGCAGTTTTCCTTATTGTTTAAACGGTTATCACAATTGCTTTAACTATAAAAGGGAATGCAAAGAGTAAGAAAAGAATAAGAATTTGCAAGAGAATGGGAAATAAAGAGGTGTGAATCTAAAAGGTGGTGGAGTGGATAGAGGAAGGAGCGTAATGAGGGAGCGAAAGAAGAGTGGAAGAGGTAGAAAGAGAGGAGAGAAGAGATCAGAGTGGAGGACAGATCTAAATAGTTATGTTGATGATACACTTCTGTGTTTATAAGTATTGTACTATGATTGTCGATAGTGCACATTTATAGCCCTCCTGAGACAATACTGTTCTTTAAATGTCTAAACATTTCTTTCAGAATTGAAGTTTTTGAACATTCTGGACAGTCAAGTTTACATATAGGCC